AAAAATTAAATAAAGTAGATTTAAAAATATAATACGGTGATCAAAATGACAATGAATCGATTTTTAGGTAAAACAATATTTATTATTTAATAAAAGTTATACTAAAAACTAAATAAAATAAAAAAAGAAAGCAGGCAGAAATAACAAAAAATACCGTTAATTATCAGTAATGTTACATAAATGTATTAACAATCCTAATCTATTAAATAAACAGCAGATTTGCAAAAAAAAAAATTTTAATCATTTAATGTGAAAAAAGGAAATGTTCTTTAAAGAAGTAATTTTAGGATTATTTACAGTTTATTTTACATTAGACATGTAAATTCAGTCTATTTTGTAATTTATTATTTCCATGTTTTAAAAATAAAACAGAAAAACCCTGTAAATTTACAGATTTTTTTTAGTTTATAAAGATAAGAGTAAAAAACCACAGAGATCAATATCTTTTCTCACGTCTTTATCATTAAAACCTGCTCGTTTACGCCACTGCGACTCCTCGAGACGTTGTATCGTTTCCATAGCAACAGCTCTCTTTACTCCATCAGCTTCCTGTAGCGCAGCTTCGTGCTGCCTTCAGGGGAGCGGGACATCAGAGTAGCATCTGTAAACGTCCAGTGTGTGTTTCCTAAGAATGGAAGATGGTTGAAAATTAGAAGCAGCAAGTGTCACTGTCCCCCACAGAGGACACAGGGTCTCCCTGCATCAGAAAACGACTATTTTAATGTATTTTACAGGTCTGTTACTTCCTAACATAAATATGCTGGAAAAGACAAGATGAAAGACAGGATTGTTTTGTTGTCAGAGGAATTTAATTGATATAATTGCTCAATCCATAATTCTTTTCTCATTTGTTATTCTTTTTAACAAGGACATTTTGAGTGCTGTTTTTTGTGTTAAACTGTTTTTTTAGCGTTAAGCTGTTTTGTTAGAGTTAAACTGTTTTCTTAGCGTTAAGCTGTTTTCTTAGTGTTAAGCTGTTCAAGCACTGGGTTACACTATAAAGCATTTAACTGGAAATGCACAATTTGAATAATATTTCTCCATTTTACCTATAATATCTGCCAAATGTAGACAGTTATCTTTATCTTTAGGTTGAGGAGTCTCAGTTTAACTCTGGCAACCATGTTAGAGCCTCACAATTTGACTGAAAGTAATTTAAGTAATTCAACTAACAATAAAAACATTTATTCATGTAACGTGTTGTTGATCTTTGAATGTATTTTTAAAGTGCCTGATATATTTCCTCTGTCTTTCAGTCCCTGGAGAGCACGAGGCGGATGTTGCAGCTGGGTGAGCAGGTAAAAACACACACATGCTAACACACAACTAGGGAGCCCAACGGCTATCAATTAAAACTAATAAAGATATGAAGAGTCAGAGAGAGTTCATCCTCATTATCATTTTATCATCTTCACATAAGCCTTCTGTTTTTTCCACAAGAGGAAATGCCCAAAGATGTCTCACCTAATTACTGTAAACAAGACTGACGTGATTAACTGTAGGCGGCTGGGAAGCGATTGTGGGTTTTCTATGGAAGCCCGTTATATTGACTTTGTGACACTGTCAGTATTTTGAGACACTGAGTCAAAATATTGAGAAAGTTTCTCATTAGAATCCTTTTTTTTCTCAATATCACATTGGTGGAAATGGGCTTCCATCAGCTTTGACATATTGAAATAAAAAGTAAAGAAACAGCGTTCTTTTAATAATGTGCATTCTGTATTTATGTGCTTTTATTTGCTCCTTCCTCCAGAGTAAAGATGCTGCGATCAGAACTTTGGTTATGCTGGACGAACAAGGAGGTATTCGATCATATTTGATTCTAACTTTGTACAATAACCCCAACAGTGAAACAGAAAGTTTTCCAAAGGAAGAGGGTAGCGGCAATATTTTAGTATTTCTTCAATATCTAAAGATTACTGCCTCTGGACTTTAAAAAGCATACGGTGTCCACGCTCCTCCGGTGTTATTGAGCCCCTAAGACGGAGACATATTGGCCCTGTTGAAACAGGCTTTTAAAACTCTGGGGTTGTGTTTTAGTCTGGAGATTGAATTACAGCTGACTTTGTTGTCTATATCAGCTGTTAGAGCGCCCGCAGATGCACATTGTATCAACGTTACCTGGAAAACCGTCCAATCGGGCCCACTGGATGACTCTGACTACTGAAGAGAAGTTAATAGGCTCGATGGAAATGAGCAAATCCACACAGAATCACCGCCGATGGCCACACAATGCCTGTCGGTCAGATTTGTGTCCGACTTGCTGTGATGGGCAACAATAACCAGTTTTCAGATGCTCTCTGATCAAGCGGCTGATTGGCTTTGATTAGTTTTGACCACCACGTTTTGTAGAAAATCTTTTTTCTGAGTGATTGTAATATTTAACGCTGGATTGTTAGTCTCAAGGTTTAATCTGTTAACAAACACATGTTTTATGGTTGGTAATAACAAAAAAGCCTATTTATATACCTGAATGTAGTCTGCAAACTACAGGTAGGCTTCAGATGTCTCTAACAGGATGTCCTCTGATTTCCTGCATATTGTTTAAAAGCTGCTGAAAAAAAACATCCGAGCTGACTGCAGCTTTTTGCTACCGCGTCCTGCTGCTGCTGCCTGATGTCGTCCACTTTCCAAACGAGGCACAGTTCATCTCAAAAGAGCCAATTAATACCAGTTTTTCAATAAAATGCACAAAAAAAAGTATAATACTTTGTTTGAACTGAACCTCAGAAAGTAAAAATAATGCACATGAATGTTTCTCAACGTCTTTCCAGTCCACAGTTCACATGCTGTACCATATTAAACCCACACTGATATCTCAGATTCAGCATGAAATGTGATTCCTGGGGTTTGTGAAATGGTCTGAACACACCCTGGACCAATCAGTCACTGTCTCTGCTGTTGTTACACCCTCATTAAACTCCTGTTCCTAACAGAGCAGTTGGACCGTATTGAGGAAGGCATGGACTCCATCAACAGGGACATGAAAGAGGCGGAGAAGAATCTGACAGACATGGCCCAGTGCTGTGGTCTGTGTAGCTGGCCAATCAGAAAGTAGGTCTGGTTTCCAGGATCCAACTGGTGGCCTGTAGAAAACCCCACACTGGTGCCCAGTTCCATTAACTCAACGTAGTCAAACATCTCCTCCATCGAGAAAACCCTTCATTGTTGTTCTTTGCTCTTCTTTTGAGCATCTACGGTAACGTCTGTAGCAGCTGTCGTCACACACACGTAGTGTCCGTACATCACGATGTAGCTGCCAGTAGTTCCTCAAAGGACGCTGATTGGTCTAAAAAACTTTAAATCGGATATGCGTGCTTTGATTGAAGCCTGGCGAGACGGATTCTTGCCTGATCTTGTGAGTTTGGTTCCTCCATAAGAACACGTCTATTTAGAGAATTTACTCACAATCTACAACAACGCTGACGAAATGATTAATGTTGATGATACCAGGTAATAAATTACATTAAAGACGGATGGTTTATGCTGCTTTACCTGCTAAAATGTTGTGCTCTCAGTCATTTCTTTCCACAATGACCCTTCAAGGAGGTACATGGCCATAGATACACGAGCAGAAATAAAGTAAAGCTGGGCGTACGTGGTATCATTTGAGCCAATTATTATAAGTGTTGTTTACCGTGCAGTGTACAGGGGGGATTGAGGATCAGCTGCTCCTAAATGGGCGTCAGAGGTTCGGAAGTATTTCTAACACTTCTGAAAGTTTGGTTGTCCGATGTCGAGTGGATTCCCAAAACCTCATGGATGCTGCCTCATTAGCAACAAGCTACTATCTGCCCCAACGTTCAAACTAAACTTTATTGACCACTGTGAACAGCCAGAACCGTCTGCAGCTGTTGACGGGCCATTTTATTTCCTATCTTATGCGTACAGTGTGAGCACATAAATGGTGAGCTTTAAGATTTACTTGTACAGTTTGGATGAAAAAAATAACACTTCTAAAATTGTATCGTGTGTGCCCAGCTACACAAATGGGTATAAATGTCATTGGAATACAGTTTCTGAAACAAGTTAAACACACCTTTACATACCTTTTTTCTTTTTTACAGTTATATCTAACTTATTGTAAATACTGGAGAGATATCATTCTGCAATCACACCCTTTATTCCAACTCGTCCTACACTCACAGGCCAGTTTCTGAACACTTTGCCGGTTTTAAGATCTCGAATCATGAGACTGAACTCGACCAAACCCTGAGCGAGGAAGCAGAATGGAACTGGGCACAGTGGGCCGCGTGCAAACCACCGGCATATCGACGCATCATTTGGTTCAGCAGAGCAATAGCTAGAGCAGTTATTTATCATTTATCAGTGGATTTTTTTTTAAAGTTTTGGGCGTCTCGTGTTCAGTTGCTGGTGGCTGTTTTTTTTAAGTTCAGCTGTGGGGCTTTTGGGAAATAGTTTGTGATTGATTTGCCCTCCTCCTCCTCCTCAATTCTTCCTCCTTTTCTCACCTCTTTACCTTCACCTCCCTCCTTTCATCCTCCTCATACTGCCGCTGTCTCTTCCTCCTCCTTCCTGTTGTTGTTCTTCCTTTCTTCCTCTCCTCCCACCTGTTCCTCCGTCCTCCTTCCCCTCTTGTAGAGCAGTTGGAGCGTATAGAGGAGGGTTTGGATCAGATCAACTCTGATATGAAGGAGGCCGAGAAAAACCTGACCGACCTGGGCAAGTGCTGTGGCCTCTGCTCCTGTGATAAGTAGGTGCAGGTGTGTGTGTGTGTG